CATGGGCAGGGACACCTTCCACTAGATCAGGTTGCTCCAAGCCTCATCCAGCCTGGCCTTGGACACTTCCAGGGCATCCACAGCTTCTCTGGGCAACCTGTGCCAGTGCCTCCCCACCCTCTCTGGGAAGAATTTCTTCCTTACATCCAACCTAAACCCCACCCTCTTTCAGATTAAACCTGTCATCCCTTATCCTGTCACTACAGGCCCTTCTCCCTCCCACACCCATGAGTACCCTTTTACTCAACACTGTATGCTTCAAGTGAAATTAGAATTATTTTTGCATCCCAGAAGTGGAAGTGAAAGCACTGTAATTAAAGGAGAGGGGGCAGAGGGGAGTTGGTAGAAATAATATATGAAATCAGGGAAAAGTTTTAGGGTCAGAATTAGTGAGATGCATTCTAGGAAAAGATGAGGAGCACAAATCAGCTGAAATTTAGTTTGTAGCCTGGGAATTGGGTTAAAATATCACCATCTAATAAGCCAAGCACTGAAACATCCCCTGTGGGATTTATTTTTAGTTTCTACAATAGATTGAGAAAGAGATCTAAGTCACATCGTCATCATTAAGAAATTTCCCTTAAGCCATAGATTACTGCTGCTTTTGGTGAAATCCTTGAAAGCAGGGGCAGAGCTGTTGTCACATTGTTGAAGACCCCTCTTCTCAGCTGCACTGGTGGGAACAGTGTGTTTGCATAAAGTAGAGGAAAGCTGCCTGCTCACTTCTATTCTTCCTTTCCGAGGACCAAAAAAAGAGCATTGTAGGAAAGCTTTCTTTGAGGAAACTGTGACAGCATAAAATCTTGCATAAAATAAATCTTATCTAGGGACAGTGCAGCTATCAGAGTGCTGCGTAATGAGATGGCAGTCCAGGATGGGCACCCCGCTTTATGTACGCTGCTGTTTTATACATGAAGCCATCTAATAAGATATATGTGTCCTTTAATTAAGGTCTCATGTACAGGGTACTAGTAATGAGGGAATATGATGAAAAGAAATGGAAAAGGAAAGAGCTTTATTTGCCACGCTGAAAAGCCTGTATCATATGGAAATGATCAGGATTTAAATTTTTATCATCTGTCACAATTTGCTGCTGCTTTAATTAAAATAACACCAAGGACGTGTACAGTGAGTCTGGCGAGATGTGCTTCGTGCTCTTAATGACTGTCAGATGGGAAGGCGAGGGGTACAGAGGGGGCAGGACTGCGGGGGGATCTGGAGGGAGATGGTGCCAGATGGCCAGGCTTATTTTATTAATTTAGATCGCCATTATGGCTTCTCCTTTCTTCATTTCTCCAAAGGACGGGTTAGTTTAATGGGAATCATTCCGCTCCACAGTATGACGTGTTTAACTCTGCAGTGTCAGTGGTGGGTCCCCTCGGCCATGACTTGGCAAGGCCGCAGCTCCAACCCAGGGGTGCTGGCCCACAGCGGCCCTCCCTCAGGTAACCTGTTCAACCTTGCTTAGCAGGCACTTCCTACCGTGATGTCGTGACACGTAGCGTTCCGGTGCAGCCAGCCGCTGCCCTGAACCGGGCCCAGCCTCTGCTCCCTGCAGCCAAGTAGCACCACGGCAGCGTTTTGGGCCGCTCGTCGCCTGCTTCCGACCTCACCTGCTCGGGCAGTGCCTGGCCAGGCTGCTGGGCTCTGGGCTGAGCTCTTAGCGCTGCAAAACCTTCTCGGTAGCAGCACGTAGCCGTCTCTTCTTCTTCCAGCCCTTGGGTGCCGGACACCCAGAAGGCATAACGAGGGAGTGAAGCAAGTGCATTAAAAAGCTTTTTTCTCTTCGATTTTGTCTCGCTGCTGGGTTTGGGAGGGATCTGCCGCCTCCCCGTGGGTGATGCCAAGAGCTGCACACAACTGGAGATGTGGGTTGGGATATTATCGAGATTTTAGGGGTTTAGAGATAAAAAAAGGAATACCGTCTTCTGCAATTGTGTTTGGCACAGTCTAAAGCAAGAAACTGCTGAGGCATTTGCATTAAGAGCAGGGGGGTTTAATTTCTTCCCATCCTGGGTCCGCTGTGATAACAAAGGAGCTTCCATTTGTCAGGTCGTCTGCAACATCAGCGGTGATTGGATTAGTATTAGCAATGAAATGAGCTTGTCTTCTATAATTCAATTAAAAAAAAATACCTAAGAATTTCTGAGAAGAATTTCTGATTCCTGAATCCTCTATAAAAAGGATTTCATTAATTCACTTCGTGAGTTGATTCAGAAATCTGCATCATTTAAGTCATTCTTGGATTTCAGCAAAGCAGCTAGACTAATTGTGATCACAGCTGTGGAGCCAGAACAAATGGCAAGATGCACTTCCACATACTGCGAGTTTAGTGGCACATGCAGGAAAAAAAACCCCAAACCAAACAAATTCACCCCAAAAATCTATGGTACATGCCATGACAAGAAAAAAAAGCAAACCAGCTCAAAATGATGTGCTACGAAGAAGATGAAACATTACACTATAACACAGGGAATAAGGCATAACATTTTCAAGATTCTGAATTAATAATTGGACTTTTGAACATCTGTATCAATAATTTTCAAAACTTCTTGTATTGGGATTCGTTGTTTTTTCCAAACTATGAGAATTTGTAATTGCTTGCAGGAGCATCCCCAAGAATTTCATAGGTGTAGGAAAACGGCATTTCGTCAGCCCAAGTCCGACAGTAACATAACTTTTGATAGCACAGCAATTTATGCTGTCACCTGCTCTGAGTCTACAATGTTCAGCTCTGTGCGGAGGGCAAACTTGTGTTTGGCTGAGGATGGATGGTAGCCGTCAGTAAGATTTTGGAGAGTCTGTGGGGTGATGATGAACCATGAGATCTCTTGTGGTCATTGAGCATTGGCAAGTGCGATGCACAAGAAACACAGTGTTGAACTGTCGATTACTCCATGAGCGCTCACCCGGCCCACAATGCCTGCAGAAACCTGGAGCTAACCACAGGTCTGTGCGTGGCTGAGAGCACGTCAGGTTTGCACACCCCTCGGCACTGCTGCTCTTGTCCCCTCCTCACACGCTGTTTAGTGAGTGAAGGGCCTTCATGCTCCGAGGGCATCACGAGCAGGTTTGCTTGCCACCCTTACTGTTACACATGATCAAAGACCAAACTCGTACATCTGTGGGAAGCTCATATTCCGTATGATAGTGTGGGATTGGCCCTCTGAATGTGCACTCGGCATGTTGGCGTAGAGATCACAAGGTGGATGGAGCGTATCATTCTGCTTCAGATTGTTCTGAAGTCTTACGCATATGCAGCATATCAAATATTAGGTAAAATATCTAATAAAATATTAGATGAGATAAGATAAAACCTCAAGGCCAATGAGAATATCAAAGTTAAATCTTTGGGCAGAGCGAGTATACATTTTTGAGAAAGATGCACAAAATCTGGAGGCATGAATTTGACAAGGATTTCAAATTTCAAGTGCTTTTTGCAAAGATTATCCAGACTTTCGGAGCTTTGTGTCATTTTGGATCTGCTGAAAGCTCCCAACTTTCCTTGTTAGGCTGACAGCAAGCAAACACTCCCAGTCCTTCCCTAGAACCCCAAAATTGCCTGGGTATTTATATTTGTTAGAATAACTTTACAAATGCACTTTAGCCTACCTCTCCGCAGTGCTTGATTTCTGTGTTCTCACTTTTTTTTTCCCTCAGTGCATTTTGCCTTAATACTGAATATTGTACCAGGACTAGAGAGAGTGAGCTGAGGACTGAGAGTAAATAAATTAGACTTTGAAAATTATATGACATAAAAATACATTGAATGATTTATTTAGGGATGTGAGTACATTATATCCGTAATCTAATTCCCAGTATCTTCCTAAGCAGCTTTCAAAACCATTTTTTTGATGTCTTTGAGTTCTGAATTTCTGCTAAAATAATGAAAATGGATGCAGCTGCTGATGAATCATCATGACAAATCAACGGGGATTTTTGCACGCGTGTTTTAAACAGTAACAGGGTCCCAGTGGCACTGGCCCACTTAGACCTGCAGATAGAAAAAAGTATGATTTTTTGCTATTTTCTTTATTTGAACTGAAGTTGCAACAGCTTAAATGAAAGCTATTATGAAAAGCAATCATCTGTTTCAAAGCTGTGTGGTTAGATGGCAGGCAAGCGTGCCAAGAGCTCACTTGGGTTTCTCTGCATAGCTCATGGGCTGACGTACCTCCAAGGAGGGAGAGGGCACAGGGACTCCCTTTGGGCACCTCGTTGCAATGCGGGTGTTTCAGCACCCAGGGGTGTTTCCTCCCACCCGAATCAAACCCCACATAGTCAGCAGAAAGAAGTAGGTGCCTCTGGATGCCCCTTTAGAGAACGTGTGGTGATAATTAATTACTCTTACGTGCCCTACGTAGACACGTAGCTTTCTGTTGGGGGAGCCAAGGGAGCCCATGTTACACATCCAAATTAAGCAACGTGGATAGCTCTGTAGCTGTGAAATGAAAATCCGTGGACAATTTGCTTTCTACGAAAGAGCTAAACCTGACTTTGCACATCAGTATCAAAACTCTTACGGATGTAGCTTGGACAATAATTTACCTTAGAAGAAGGAAACCAAACAAAACCAAAGCAAGCCCAGAATCAGAGGCAATATTAAATGGTTATTTCTCACACCAAAAATCAACCCAGGTCTGGTAAGTGGGATTCTGCTCTCGAGCCTTGATCCTGTTACTGATTGCATTAGGCATTAGATTGCTTGGCAGTCTGCAGTCAGCCCTGCAGGTGTGTAACATCCTGATTCTGAGGAGTTTGGGTCAATTCAAAATTTGTTGGTTGGAACTGTCATTAATTATGTTTGCAAAAGCAATTACAGATGGCAGTATAAGCAAGAATAAGCACCAGCTGTTGTAGAAATCAGAACTCGGGAAATCTTTTTCTCAGGTTGCATACTTCAGTGGCACAAATAATTGCACAATAACGGGTACAATTTGTCATTTCATATATGGGGCACGACCAGAAGACACACTAATGTCTGGCATCTTTTCTTTCAGGATGATTTTCTCTATAGTGTCTCCGTTTTAAGTGGAATCCTTTGCACTGCCTTGGCAGTAATCAAATTTATGCTGGGAAAGGTCCTTACAAGCAGAGCGCTGATAACCGATGGTGAGTGTGAAGTTGATCCTGCTGCATTTATAGACTCTCCCGGGGAATGTTGTAGGCACAGAGGATACGAGTGACCCCCGGACAATACAGCTGTGAATGGGCATTGAAATAAGAAGTCCACTGGGAAATGGGAAAATCCCCAAACCCTACAACAGTCTGTGGTACTATTACATGGATACTTCAGCTGACATGAGTATCTCTGGTGGAAGTCAAACAGTTAATGTGCGGATAGTAAGCAATAGTGGAGAGTTAGAGTGTATAATAAATTAGGTGTGTATGAGACAGAGGTGAGACTGCAGAGCAGGGATATGACCCCAATTTATATAGCTTTGGTTAAGTCACATCTATCCTCCCTGCCTACGCCTGGGGGACAATTTCATCCCTACAGTTAAAACCCAGCGAGCCTGTTGCAGAAAGCACCACCCTGCCTTGAGCAGGAATCACCAGCATCATTCATACCAACCCCCTGTAGCCGTAATTTGCCACTGTGGTGCTTTTCCTGTCGCTCTGTAGAGCCGGTGGAGCATCAGATGCGCAAAGCGAGCCTCTGCCTGCCTGCTGCCCCACGCTCCTCTGGCCCTGCCGGAGTTGGGCACAAGGGGAATCTTGCCTGCTGTATCCTTAGGAGACCTCAGTGCCACTACTCTGTTGGCTCAGGTGTGTAGCACCTGACTGTTGCTGGTTTTAAAGGTGTCTTTTAAAGCCATATTTTAAAAGTAGGTCCAGATACGCCTCTTGCTGACAAGGCTCAAGCTTGTCAATCTTCCCAGAGCCGCGGGGATCTACTTAGCAAACAAGTGAGGCCACAGTGGTGGCAGAGACTTCACAGCGCCCTACAGATCTCTGCCAGATTTTATCTGCAAGCACAGGACAGTCTGAAGTGCTCTGTAAACATACACCGTAGGGTGTTAATGATTCATGGATTGTGGCACATAAATTATTTTACTCCACTAAAGATTTCACTTTAAGGAAATGCAATTTTCAGCTCACTCTAGGGATACATACAATTGCTTTCAGTAATTTAAACATACCCAAACATTTTTTGGTCATGTGTGATATTTTATATCACCCCATTCATAGAAATACTTTGTGAGTATTTATATTTTAAATATAAAGTAAGCAAAAAAGGAATCAAAACAGCAGTGCAGGGGCTACGACTAAGCTACTGCCTCCCAGCATTTCTGATTCTCTCCCGGCAGACCATGCTGTTCTGTGATTTATTATTGTTTGCTATGGCCTCTGCCACCCTAGACATTTTGTAACTGAAATCTCCAACCTGCAGAAAGGGTTCTGGAAAGGATCCTGGGAACTAGAGAGCAGCAAGTCTGACTTCCTTCGCTGGCAGAGCTAAGTGGGACATGTTGACCCATTCAGCACTGCGTCCAGGCAGGCAAATGATGAACCCTGTCTTTAAAAAACGTGTAGCTTGTTTTTAAAACAGAGCAGTTTTTTCCGACAAAATATTAGCTGAAAAATGCCTGAATAGCTCTGAATTGATGGTCCTGTATGACAATGAAATCTCTTCCCCCATAATTACATCCTTGTGCTAATTGTATTGCTTCTGAGCTGGAGATTGCTCATTCTTTGATAAAAAAAATTAGGGAGTAAAGTATACAATTGCCTCAGTCTGGTTTTTATCTCTTTTCTCCCCTTCATAACTACTTTAAAAAAAATGTAGGAAGCTGATCTTACCATGTCTGGTTAAATACCTTCTTTCACAAGATATATTTACATATATATTTGATTTATTAACAATCCGGAGGAGACAATGTGATTCGGCAGCTGAGACAGATTTAGCACTCCCTTGCATATCTTTTTTTAGTGTTTTCTGTTTCATGCTGATTTACCTCCTGCGATCACTGGCTGTGGACCAACAAACTGTTTTGAGTAACAAGAGCATGTATTTTCTTCCTGAAAAAATAGGCTCATTTTCAAAACAGCAAATTCTCTGTCATAACATGTCAACCTCTATTAATGACTTCTTAAAGAATAATTTTGTTTTAAAATAGGGCTTGACAACACTCTCTCCTTAAAGCCTAAATGTATCAATCCTGATAAGGCAGAATGTTATTTGTACAATTTGTTTAGAGCAAAAGCTCATGGCTTTTTGTATCCTAAGCCCAGCCATCTCCTATCTTGAATTTTGTAACATCTCGGAGGACAAATGCCGAGATGTGACGGTTGGGTGTTGTCAGCCATCTTTCCTGTAGGTTTTAGATACCTGCTTCATTCCCAGCTTTAGCCACCTGTTTTTTCCTGTGCTAGCCCCGTGCACAGAACGTGGTGTGTGGATTCGTACCTGCAGCCATGACATGATTTCCGGCCACACCACCAAAGGAAGGTTTGACTGTATGACAGTCAGGAAGAGAAAAAATTTCCTTTGTTAGTAGCTTGTAGAACGTTTGGAACCATCAGCCAATAATGGTAAGAAAATGTATTATTCCTGCCTTTTGCATATCATGCTGATGGATTCTGGCTTAAGCTGGAGCAGGGGAAGTAACACTGGTTTAGATTTATAGTTAATTAATTTATACTTAGTATTCTTTATATATTCTGGATATATACACACACATTATATTTCATTGACACGTATTAGCAGTATAAATTACATTGCCTGGGAATAAAAAAGGATCAGGATCTTTCTAGACTAGGGTGTTGACAGAATAACGATGTCTGTATTGGTTTAACTGGTATAATTAACCCAATAATCAGGCATTTACATGCAGCGCCTGTGATCCCGATTGCACAGTCCAAATAAGCTCCCAGCCCCCTTTTCCTTGCAGGGCTGGAATCCTGAAACCTCTGTATGCCTTGTTCTGCTGCAGACCTGCTCAGTGACAGGGGCTTCTCCGTGCCAGGTCTTCCTTTGCATTTCAGTACCGACTGCCAGGGAGCTGGTGAATCTTCATCAAAATCTCGATGCTTTGTACAAGCACTTCAGCCGTAGCGATACCTAGGAGAGGTCGGGTTTTAGCTACGTCTTTCAGAAAGAAGTAATTGGGTTTAGGTAAGGACTGGATGCGCGAGGTCTGGATCAAAGGATTCAGGAGTGTCATGGATGTGGTTGTTGGCAGTCATGGGGGACTGGAAGAAAACCGGCTAAGCACTGTCAGCAGCAGCTGACTGGGGTTGGCTCAGCGAGCAGCACAGAATATTTCAAGTTTGATTTTTCAGTTGTTAACTCGCTTAAATAGTGTGTATGTGTCCACCAAACGAATGCACTATCAGTGACCACCTGTTGTTGCTGTTTAGAGCTACAGTGATGTCTTTTGGCTTATTGAGGAAAAAAAAAATCAGAGAGGGGGAATTCAAGGGGGAAAAAACAAAAAGAACTTTAGGAATGACCAAAAAAACCCAACAAAACAAAAAAACAACCAAACCCCAAACCTCCGAACACTAACAAATCAAACAAAAGTTGAAGGAAAAATGGAATTAATTGTTCCTAAAGCCCTGGGAGAATTTTGAAGGGACAGTCTTGGAGACAAAGAGAAAGGGTTTAAAAAAACAACCAACCAACCAAAAAAGAAACCAAAACCCAACCAACCAAAAAAAAAACCAAAAACCAACCAACCAAAAAAAAAACCAAAAACCAACCAACCAAAAAAAAAGGAATCTAAAAAGATGTTTGTAAAATTGAATAATTGATGGGAAGCTCCTGTGGTATATCTTAGAGCATAAATGGAAAATATTCCGAGGATTATCCTGTGTGCCTGCACTAATGCATTCAGCAGTGTATGCAGCTCCAAGCCATCGTGCCAAATACATGTAGCTAAATATATGGAATGGGGTGAAACGCTGCAAGAGAAGGTCTTTGAAACGTTACCGTGCAAAACAATTTTCCTTTTCATGAGCTGCTTGCGTATACAGGACTCCTTTCCAGTGGAAGTGGGAGCCTTTGGGTCCCTTAGGAAGTGCCTTTGTAGTTCCAACCGGGGCCGTTGGCCCGTGCAGCGACGGTACGTATGTTACGAAGAGGTTCTCTGGCAGGTAACTGGGCCACAGCAGTGAGAATCAGCCGCTGCCTTACAGCTCAAAGGTACCTTGTTCATGAGGGTAGGCTACAACAGAGAGAAGGGCTTGACTGCCGGAGTCAGCATGGAGTAGGCCCAGTATTTTGATGGAATATTGCTGTTTGGGAAATTAGCATCAAGAGGTGAAAGCCCTGTGAAATACACAGCAGCTAGAATTGGGATTTGGAACTAAACAGAGAATGAAAAAAGTGGGACTGACCACATCAAGACACAGGTGCAGGGAAATTAGTTATTTATGTCAACCAGGACGAGTGACAAGAGTTCTTAAGCACTGGTCAGAGACCCTGTTTGATTTGTGAAATGAAGGGCAGCAAGGCCTCTGGCCAACGGCATGTGCCAGGATTGCACCGCCTCTTCCTCAGTGCAGTGCCGGAACACCCCAGGGTCTGTGCCCCTCTCAGCTGGCTCTGCTCCGGTCAGGCCTTGTCTCCCCACAGACTGCCTCCTCTTGGCGAAACGGTTCAAGCAAATTCCTTTGGATTTGGTTCATCCTTTAATTATTTTTCTTTTTCCCCCTTCTAGGTTTCAACTCTCTTGTAGGTGGAATAATGGGATTTTCCATCCTTCTTAGTGCAGAAGTCTTTAAACACAATTCTTCTGTCTGGTTTCTGGACGGCAGTATAGGAGTTTTAATTGGACTTACAATATTTGCCTATGGAATCAAGTGAGTATCTCCTGCTGGTAGGTATTTTGGTATGTACAGCAGATGGGCTGTCTGTTTAATGGAATAAGCCATAGCTCTCAAAGGCTTACATAACTCCAGCAGAATCAGTCGCTGGAATTTATTAGACTAGCTGCCAATACTGAAGCGGAGTGTGTGGAAAGGGATAAAAGTTTGTGTGCCTCACATCAGTTGGAAAGAAGCCAGGACTTGGAAAGAAATTGGAATAAATTTAGAAGACTTTTGCGTACCTGAATTTGGAACTAGAAGGTTTGATATATTTGAAAAATAACCCCAAGTCTGGGATAAAATCAGTCTCTGTTGCTTTTACGGCACATTTCTAAGCACTGTTTTTTCCCAAGGAAGCCTAGTTTAAAGGTAAGGTGCTCACATTTAAAGAACGATCTTGCTGGTGATTTCCATCCCAGCCCTACCCTGTAACAACTTCTGAACGTTAGCCAGTCGTGTTTCAAATGTTGTTTCCATTGAATTTTAAGATGCTTTCTTGATTCGTGACCCCAGAAGTGGAATAGAATCAAATGAAGCTCTGCCTTGTGCTTTGTTGCTGCCACCATTTCCCTTGGCTGCACGGACTCCAACTAAGGTGTTTGTGTTCTATCCCTCTTTCTGCCTTAAGAGAAAGGGGGAGATGCAGCATGGTAGTTCACTGGAGTCCAGCCTGTTGAGGAGCAGACCTTGGCCAGGCCGCAGCAGGCTGTCGTCTGGAAGCTGTGTGGGTTTTTTTTAAACTTGGAAAATTTAAATTAACATTGTAATGGGGAATATCATTCTAGGAAAAGTCACTGTAATTGTCATTTCCATTGTAAAACTGTTCTGGAAAACTGTAGAGGCAAATCCATACAAAAGTATTTATTTGAACACACCAAGCAGCATCAGAAACATTTTGTACAGCCACTGAAACTCAGGCTGGGCCGTGGTGTCCCCCAGACACAGCGAAGGCGGCTGAAGGACAGAACTAAATTCTGCTTTGGCAACAACCAGATTTTCACTTTGAAACTATGGCAGTTCTCCTCAACTGTTCGGTCCTGTCCTACAGGTGTGAAACAGGTTGCTACAACAGTCCCTTTCCCAGGAATCCCTCCTTGGCTTCTCCAGCCAAAAGTGACTGCCGCTGCGTGCTGTGATTTCCCAGTGCCGCCCCGCATTCAGGATTCCTGCAGGGGAGCCCCTCTCCACACTCCTCTTTGGGCAGAAATAGTTGTGGGGCAGAATGAACTGTGGTGAGAAAGCAAAATAAGGCTGTTCCTGCACCTGAGTTCTTTATAGTTCACCAGATCAATCAGCATTTGTGAGTAAAGAGGCCAGGGCCGGGCTTCCCCGAGTGTGCACCAACCCTCTTGTGCTTCCCTCCGCAGGTTGCTTATCGACATGGTACCCCGCGTGAGGCAAACGCGCCACTACGAAATGTTTGAGTGAAGAGCGCGCCCTCTCCTCTGTCAGGACTGTAAAACTACAGCGTCGTACGTGTTGGCAAGTGGTGCCGATGGTATTTTACTAAACACGCCGTTCGTTTCCCGTGGTCTGTTTTTGTTGGTTTGTTTTGATGGGAAATCTCTCTGTAAATCTGGCATATGTGCACACTGCTTGCAATTCAGCCAAACAGCAGCTTTTTTTTTTATTTCCCAGGTATGCTATTGATTCCTGTGCCGATAGAAAACATGCAGTTTGCAGCTGTAACCCAGCTGCCATGTCGTGTATTCCAGAGTGAAAGTGTTCTTAATGGTGTGATAAGCCTGTGGGTAAAGAAGTGCCAGTTTCAGATCCTGTTTTCTTCCCCCACGGCCTGTATGTTCCCCAACATGTGCTGTAAGAGGAGTACAGGCCTTGCTAACCTCCGGCTAACAGAGTATCCGATGTAGAGTCTGGACACCAGGAGCTGTGTTGCTTAAAACACTCGAGTAGCTACTTCCTCCCCTCCATTCAAACAGACGCAGAGAGAGAGCAGGTACAAACTCTCTGTGACCAGGGAGATACTTCATTTTAATCCTAAACTAACTGAAACTATACCTTTTCCATTTAAATTCTATTTTTTCTTAACGAGACACTGTTCATAGCTTTGCATGGACCAAACAAGCACACACAGTATTACCGTACAGACCAAAGCCAGAAAGTTGTGCAGGGAAGAGGAGCTGCTTGGGAATGGGATTTCCATCTTCTGTTATACCGTACGCAGATGTACCAGCGTGTGTGGCTTTGTGGTTGCTCTGTAGTCTGACGATGGCACAGCAGTGGCTCAATCTGGTGGTGCAATACAGATCTATTTATTAGATTTAGATTGTCCTGTAAAGTGTTGCTCACCTTCCATCACACATCTTCTATATTACTTATTAGCAGGTTAAATTATCAAAGAATCTTGATGTATGATCAATAAAACTGGTATCTATTTTATACAGTATCTGTAAGTAACATTTGAGAACTATTTCCAGAATGTACCATAGAACAAAGTCTTCCTGTATAGCAGCCTATTAAACTGGATTCTCTGGCTAGATAGCCATTTTCTCTTTATTTTATATGTTCCAGGTTGGTTTTCACAACGCAGAACCAGTACTCTTGCTTCTGTTTAGCACAGGTGGATAAAAATAAGACAGTCTGCTGTAGTTTGAAATAGGACCACGGTAAGTGGCCAAGCAGCTACATGACAACAGACTCCATAAACTACTGCAGATGTACAATTAGACTGTTCAGTGGTGGGTGTACAGTGGGGTCACGGACTTTTTTATTGGTGCCTTGTGATGCTAAAACTGTATTGGCCATCATATGTCACTTAGCAAATTCTTAGCATGAGCCTTAATGATCTTTAGTAGAAGCCCACTCCAAATGATACGTGTAGGAAGAGACCACCCAAAGGTTTCACTGCCCTGCTCGTGCCTGTGTGAGGTGCCCGGCGTTGGAAAGATGACAGCTCCACCTGAAACAGAAGATTCTTACGGCAAAGTGGATTTTGCTCTGCTGCCATAGTTTGTTCACACATATTGTTAGATTAAGTTTGTATAAACATTTGTCTGTAAACTCTATAGCGTTGTTGTCAGTGGGGCTGCCATAGTTTGTTCACACATATTTTTGGATTCGTTAAGTTTGTATTAACATTTGTCTGCAAACTCTATGGCATTGTTGCTGTCAGTGCTGATGCTGCTTGTGCCTTGCTGTCACAGGATGGCGTTAGAGATCCTCACGTCACGCAGCAGTACAACGCTTGACAGGACAAAGGAGCTACTTCATAAATGCACTCAGCAAGGACCCCAGGACTGTAGAGTACAGGAGTCATCACTGTACTCATCACAGGTGGATTTTAAAATACCAAATACCTCCCCAAGACCCCTTCTTCCTACACAAGTTCCTGATTTGTTATGCTTTTGCTTAGTCCTGATATTTTCTTGTTACGCTGCTTCTCCAGTTCTCCATGGAGAGGGTGGTGAGGCACTGGGACAGGTTGCCCAGAGAAGCTGTGGATGCCCCATCCCTGGAAGTGTTCAAGGCCAGGCTGGATGAGGCTTGGAGCAACCTGGTCTAGTGGAAGGTGTCCCTGCCCATGGCAGGGGGGGTGGGACTAGATGGTCTTTAAGGTCCCTTCCAACCCAAACCATTCTATCATGATTCCAACTCGTAGCTCCATGAAGTGAGCTGTGGAACAGGTATTTCCCCACTGATTAAGTAGCTTTTGTCAAGGCTCTTCAGCCTCAGAATTGCAGAACCAGAGCCTGAACACGGCTGTATTACACATCTCCTGAGTTTGTCAGTTTTATGAGTACTGCTTACCCTGTTCTGCCTCTCCAGGGGCTTTATTACTTCTCCAGTCCCATTGCTGGTTGTGGGAATGACACTTGGGAACTACTGGAAGAGCCACAGGGCCACGCGCTCCAGCAGCCTGTTTGTAGCAGAGGCCAGCGCCAAGTGCTCCCGAAGGAAGGTGGTTGTGGCAAGAGACTTACCTGCTGGTCCGACCTGCGCGACACAACTCCGAGACCGTTGAAAGTCGAGAGGACGCTCAAAGCAGCGCCCAGCTCCAACACCCCGTTGTTCTGTTAAGAGGCTGGGTAGGAGCATGGGACTGCATGGTTCGGGCACGGAGCAGAGCTAAAGGCTGCGCAGCTGAAGTTTCACACTTCTGGAACTCTGTCGTGCGCTTAGAGGGTGTCTGGAAGTTCGGATCCAGCTGTGCAGCTTTTGAAGGGAGATGTGGTTGAACAAGCCAGTCCTACTTTCTCTTACCAGATTGATCTAAACCTCGTACCGCAGGTGCTTCAAAGCACCTCTGGTATTAGCAGGTAAATACAACAAAATAACTGACATACTTGTGATACTGAAAAGGAAAAAGACCAGGAAGTAATGATACTCAGAAGTGCAGCAAAGAGATGCTGCTAAAGCTGGCCAGGGAGATGTCCTGTGGTGCAGGACAACAGAAGAGAAAGCAACTGCTCAGCCAGTTTACTGAGACACTGCTCTAGCCAGCCACCCCCAAAGCTAACGGTTTGATACTAGTCGTCTTCATTAAATGTCCGTGCCAGTTGATTTTTCTGACTATTAGTGTGCTTCCCACTTAGCTGAGCAAGGGTGAGACTCATGAGCTGCAAGAGCTCAAAAGCACTTGGGCTGATCACCTGAAACTCGGCACTGACCAAGGAACATTTTTTGCTCCGTGACCGCAGAAGCTTCTCAGTGCTGCCAAATCCCCTTTGTGGTGCCCGGGACAGGAGGAAGGAGCTTCAGTGTTGATTCAAGGACCAGCACCGGCCAGTACAAAGGCTGCAAATCGACACTTCGTAAAGTCTGGCCAAACTCAGAACTGCAGATTTATCCCTGATGTGGCATGTGAGCAGCTTTGGCCCTGGCCATGCTGTTCAGCAGAGAACGAATCTATCAAAAACTCTCACCGTAAGGATGGCACCAGCTGCAGTCTTGAATCCTAAGCCCCGCCCTGCGTGCACCAGGTAGGCACGAGGCGGATTTCACTAATGGAGAATGATCACGTTCCGCTCACAGGTAGCCAGATTGTCATCAGGAGAGCACCAGACCAACACCCCTTGCTGACCGAGTCCCATTTCACTTGTAGCAGCGGTCGGCACGCCATAAATAAGCATCGTCCAACCATGATGGCACAACGGAGCCTCACAAGCAGCTCCTTGCTGAAACTGATGTTCCAGAAATGGACCTGAAGCAAAGACCCCCGAGAAGAACCTTCTGAGATGTGGGCAAAGGCAGCTCAGGGTATACCTGCGCCTGGGACGGCACCGGAGTTGCCCACCACTCCTACACCATTGGCACTGCTGCACTCCCAGCTGCCGGGGAAAGCATTGAAATTTCTGGCCACCTTTGTTGGGGGCCAGGTCAGGAGACAAGGACGGAACCTTATGTTGGCTCCCAACCTGACAACGTGTTTTTCCTAGACAGTCTAACTTACACCCAAGAAATGCCCTTACTGCCCATTCTCTTTTGCAGTGAGGATGGAGTGTTAAGCCGAAGGCCACGGTAGCAGCAAGCTGCCTCTGCAGAGGGAAGAAGGCGCTGAAGCTACCTGAGCAGAGATCATCCCTGTCCCAGCCGGAGCCTGCACGTAGGAAAGCGATGATGTGCTGTGCTCAGAGCACCAGCACTTTCTCACCACCACTCCCGAGAGCTGGCTGCTGGTCTGCTTGGGCTCTCTGCCATCACGGGGTGCTCTGCCACCGCACACGTGTTCGTCCAGCACCAGTAACCACGCGGGAGCGGCACACAAAAACACCTGCCTGCGGCCTGGCGTGTGGGCCTGTGTTACGCAACCAGAGAGCATAATTAAATCAAATAGCTGAGACGCCGGGGATACTTCCCCCTCCTGTTCCTCCCACGTTTGGGAGCTGGTATTTTCCATTCAGCCACAAGATCATATTTGAGGCGGCACTGAACGGTTCTTTACCTGCTGTCACCTCCCTGCAGAGCACAGAGCGGAGTAAAGGCAGCGCCTGTTCTAGAAGGCCCAAGTGACACGAAGTACCAACCCCCTTTCACCGGGGCCGACCCACGCAGCAGAATCCCAGCCGGCAGCACGGTGTCCCTCCTCGCAGCCGGGCAAGAGCTGCGCTCCCGCGAGGCCTTGCAGCGAGTCTCCCGGCAGGAAAGCCCTCCGAGCCCAGGGCCCACGCACCAGAGCAGGCCACACAGTGAGACCCAACAGCTGGAGCCTGCTCCGTGCAAACAATATTCACTTTTCTGGCAACACGGATTTACCACCAGGATTTTAGTTCAATACAACCTCCGTAACTGGTAAAATATGCGTGAGCCCTGAGAAGCGTAAGCGTGAATACGGAGCAGGGCAAGGCGGCGGAGTGGGGTGCTCCATCTCGCACGCTGAAGAGGGAGCGGCAGTCTGAGGTCAGGCTTTGGAGCAGCACAAGGCCCCAGCCAAACGTTTCCATCTGTGGGGATGCTACCGGATGGGGTTTGAGTGAGCCCAGTGTGAGGGCGGAGGTGTTCAGCTCCCACAGTGACCTTTCCAATGCTGCTGCCTGGCCTGCCTCATTCTTACCCCAATTCCATACTTTCTTTTTCCCACCGTGTGCCTGCACCGCAGCCCCCAGC